GTTTGGTTTGGGGGGGGGGGGAATTTCCCTCCCAATGGACGGAGCAGAATGCAAGTGGGGGAGATTAGGTGGGGGTCAAATGTTTAAGAGGAAAGAAGTGTGTGAAACTCAAAAACAGTACTCCAATAGATCTCATCACCATCTAGTGCGTAGTAAATGTGGATCCATCATTCACGAGAAAAACTTCCCAAGAAGGTGAGATTAGCTGTATGGGAAGGGCTAACCACTGCACTGTGCTAAGTGCCCTTAAAGGGCAAACAAGTGTGAGAAATCTTTGGGGTGGGTGGGTGGGTGGGGGTTGCATCATCCATCATCCCCTTTCTGTTTAGGGCACTGCCCCTTTTATGTATCAACGGGGGAGAGGGGTGTGCACAAGAAGAAAGAAAAAAAAAAGAAAAAGAAAAGCAAAGCAAAGCTATGGTTCTTTAATGCAATTTAAAGTGACTTTGGAGGAGTCTTTTGTCCTTTTCCTTGGTCTCTTTTAGGCTGGACATTTGAGGTTCCGGGCCCCACTCTCACATGGCACCTTACACCACTTTTGATTGTATATGGTACGACAACCTTTATCATTGCCTGGGTACAATTTATCCATTTTCGTCTTATTGTTGTCATTATTTCTCCGTTTTTTTACTGTTTTAGCTCAGGGAATCGGGATGTAAACACTAATCATGATAGTTTATCGGATAAAAATTACTTCCGGTTTCGAAATTGGCAAAATTATATCTTATCGGTCTCAATTGATTCTTTAAACTATTTTAGTTTTCGTAGATTTTTTTTTGGGAATTTAGTTTTCGTAGATTTGTTTATTTAGGTTTTAAAAAATAATTTAAAACTTTTTTTTAATTTTATGCTAGTTATTAAATAAATTGATTGAAAAATAATTTATGTCAAACATTTATAAGCTTTTAATTGGAATAGAGGAAGTAATGGCTAGAAAAAATACTCCATTAGTTTTGCGAAAGATTAGTAAATTTTTCAATTTTGTCATTGGATGTTGTGTGTTAAAATAGATTTTAATGGGTTTTTCAACTTGAGTTAGAACGGTCCCACTTTTTTGTTTTTAAATTTTTTAAGCAACTTTTAACTTTTCCTTTCTTTGCTGCAGTTTTTAACTTTTAACCACTGCGGGAAAGTTTGACCCTTGCATGATCTCCTTTTTTTACCCTCGCATGACTTCCTTCCCTATATGTTAACCGCTAGATATACGGAGTACTTTTTTTTAAAAAAAAATAATATAGGGAGTACTTTTGTTTCAAAAAGAAATTCATGTTTAGGCTATACCATACAAAAAGGTTGGGCTGTGTACTTGTGATAAAAAAATTTAGGTTACATTTTTAAAAAAATTTATTTCGGAGTGAGTACCTTACAATATCCGAATCCGTCCAACCCTATTTCAACTCCGTCATCTTCATCATCGTTCTGTCCATCGTTCTGTCCATCATCCCCTAATACGGTTACCATGATAGAAGAGGAAGAGGAAGTGGTGGGCCGGCCCAATGAAGAAGTCTAACAGGAACAACCCCGACGTTCAGGCCGAATAATCAAGCCGCCAATGAGATTCTACAATTTTGATAAATTTTAACACTATGTTTTTTATTTTGTGTTTGAGTGTGTGTCTAACGCTCATGTGATGGTTTTTGTCTCGTTCTTTTTCTTGAGCCGTCAGGATAGAAAAATATAGTCGAATTAGGTTTTTGACTTCTCTATAGCTATAAATAGAGTGGCTCCCTTTCAAGCTGAGTGGCAAACAATAAAGTCTACAATTCTCCTAATCTTAATTCTTCTTTCACTCTCTTGGCTCTTCTCCTCTCTTTTCCGTTTTCTTCTATCTGGTTCTCTTCTTCTCCTTTAATGTATCACTGGTACTTTCAACTTCTTGGACTCATCATGGCGGAGGAAGTGCCAACATCGTCCACCAGTAACAAAACACCATCTAACGATGACTTGCAGATTGCCATTCAAAATCTTCCCTTGGAAATTTGGACCAACTACCAAGACCACCTCGCGCTAGCCCAATGCGTGGATCAGGTTTCCGCTACCTTACTTGACGGAAGTCAACCTACCGCGCCCGACAACTGGGGTCTCTTGGGCAACAATCCACCATGGTTTTGTCGACCTCAACACGTACCTCATGGGTTTCCTGGTAACGATAATCAACACGAGTAAAGTAAGCCTAAAGTTTGCTTTGATGCGCCCAAATTTAATGGTCAAGACCTAGGTGGGTGGGTTTATAAAGTGTAGTCTTATTTTGACTATTTTCATACATCGGTGGATGCTCGCCTTCGCCTCATCGGGTTACTCTTTGAAAGCCCGGCTTACGATTGGTTCCTTTATCAACACAACAGCTGGATCATAAATTGGTGTGGCTTTCTTGAGGCCGTAAAACAACTTTTTGATCCTGTACATTATGAGGATTGCATGGGTTTGTTGTGCAAATTACAGTAATACACCACGATTTTAGATTATTAAATTGATTTTGAATGGTTTTTGAACAAAATTACAGTGATTTTAAAGGGCACATAAATTTCTGTTTTACAGCCCGTTTAACACCACCAATACGAAGGGAGATCCTTCTCAAGCGTCCAATCACTTTGGGACAAGCTTTTTCCCTGGCCAGGGAGCTCGCGGCCAATCATATTGATATGGTAGCAATAGTCATTGTGTTTGTTTGTTGATCACAGTCAACCAATACATCCTCGGCCCGTTCTTCCATCTCTGAATGAGCTTCGGGGAGTACTCCTCAGGCCGCTTCGTTAGTGACACCAGGTACTTGAACATTAGGGTTGACGACCTGTAACGCTTTATAAATTGGCCTAATACTTAGCCAATATTTTAAATAAATAAATAATATTTATTTAATCAATTATTATAAATAATAACTATTGAGATTATGATCTATATGTAACGCCCCGAAACCTGGCCCAAAAGAATTAATTAAATTGTTAGAGCAATTGATTACGAATTGGGCCCAATAAGGGGTAAAAATTATAATTTGGATTTTAAGCCCAACTTTTATGTCATCTCGTAGGAAATATTTTTGTGATCGCGTTGGTTCAGACGGTTCGCGAATCGGAGTTATGGAACTCAAGTTATGACCATTTAATCAGGTATTTTGGGTCCGAAGCCCAATCCTTTTTGGAATGGGACCATTAAATAAACCTAAACCACTCAAACCTTATCCTTCTTCATCCGTTCCTTTTTCTTCTTCCTTCTCCTTCTTCTTCTTCCTTCTTCTTCTCCTTCTTCTTCTCCTTCTTCTTCTTTCTTCTTCGTCTTTCCCGGCCAACCTCGCCGCCGGAAGCCGCCGCCCAGCCAATCGTCGCCGCCCAGCCGGTCGCGCAAGCCAGACCGTCGTCGCCGGAAGCCAGCCGCTGCCTCCTTCGCCTCCAGCCGCCGTCGCTCACCGCCGACGGGTGCAGCGCCGCCACGCCAAACGGAGGACGTCGCCAAAACGTCGCCAAACGCCGGACGCCGCTGCTTCGCCTTTGCCGGAAGTCCGTCGCCTCCCCTACCGGCGACCACCATAATCGCCGTCGCTGCCCAGCGCCGCCGACGACGGTTCACCTCGTCGTTCTGCCGGCGTCCTTCCCCGCCGTCGATTGCAGCGCCGCCAGTCGCTGCTCATCGCCGTCGAACTGCCGCTCCGCCACTGTTGCCGGCAACCGTCACCGTCGCCGCATCCGGCCGCTGCCCCAAGTTGATATCGCCGGCAGATTAACCCCCACGCCGGATTGATTGGTCGATTTCGTATTTTGACTCGATTTGACCCGTTCGGTTGATTTCGTTGATTTGTCTTCCGTTCGAGCTATCGATTCGATTTCGACGTAATCCAGGTCCGTACTATGAAGTTAATAGCATTCAGAATCGATTTAATGGTTTGGATCGTTATATGTGTTTATGCTATAATTTGGCTAAATTGGTTAATTGAATTAAATTGATTGTTTGAATTGAATTGTTGAGGATTGTGAATTGACTGAACAGGTTTGTCTTTGACTTGGGTTAGGTCCTGTTTGACTTGGACTTTGACTGGATATTCTGTTGTTGTAAGTTTGACCGAATGGTTAAATCCAAACTTTAATGAATTAGTTAAGTTAATTAATTAATTCTAATTGGTGATTAAGGTCAATTGGTTTATTGTGTTGAACATAGAAACTGACCATCGCTCGGGCGGCTGCAGGGCCTGGTCAGTGAGGTTAAGACGTGCGCACGAGGGTCTGCGATCTTGGGTTTGAGGCCATCGCCCGAGGGATCCTACCTCCACCGAATTGAGGCCATCTTCGGTATTACGGATTGAGGCTATCTCCGTCATAGGAAATAAATGTTAAGTGGTTTGACTTTGGTGAAAGTCTAAATTGGTTTGACCGGTGGTCAAAGAGTCATGGGAAACCCGTAACACCTAAATCGTTTTGAAAAGAAAGAAAATAAGTTGACTATTGGTCAACCGTCTAAAGAACCGAATGTTAAGTTGAATTGATTTTTATTAAAAGGATAAACTTATGCACGATCTTAATTGTTGAATTATTATGTTTATTCTTGTGCTACAATGGAGTACCACTCAGCGTCAATGCTGAGCGGATAGCGTTGTTTTCTTTTGCTGTCCGTAGGTGATCAGACAGATGAACCTAGAGCCGATCCTAGAGGGCATTGAGGAGGAGATGTACGATGGTGTGGCTGTCTCTTTAATCTGTTGATTATGCTTTATTTAATTAACTTTAATGCTTATTACGTTTTCGGGCAAGATCCCAAGTTGTTTGACTTTAAAAAGGCTTCCGCATTATTTTAAATTACTCCGATGGATTTTCATATGTATTGAAAGAACGTTTGTTTAAAATTGTTTTGAAAATGTCGCAAATTCAAATACCAATTTAGTGGCACACCGGTCCGCTGTCTCACGGGTTTGGGTCATGCGGGTTGGGGTGTTACACTATATAAATTGATTCAAAAGTTACTTATTTTTAATATAGAAAGATACTTTCGATAACAGGCTTTTCGATATTAATTGATTTAATGAATTAATTAGTGACTGAGACAGACCCGGAGGTTAGAAAATAAAGTTTTGAGAAAAATCGTTTGAACACACCAAAATTAGTTTTGACTGTCTATTTTCAAAGATAATTTTGGTTTCTAATTTAGAGCTGTTTGGGAGAAAAAGCGTGTATCCTTCAAGCAAGTTATTTAATTACTCAGTAACCTAGTTTTTGTCACCCCACATTTCCCACATGCATGCCTGACACGCCACACTCATCTCCCAGGCAACTCTTGGTACTCCTTTCTCCCTTTATAACAATACATCACCCCCTTCCCACTTACTTATCATCACCCTTCAAATCAAGACCCAACTCTTACTCTCTCTTATTGGATATATGAGCCCTAGAGAATAGAAGGCCTTAAAGATTGTTTATACATCTCGTGTATCTAAACATAGCTTTAGTTCATAGACATAGCTCTCTGGTAGCATAGATTAGAACTACGATGTTCTGATTATGAGGTTGTTACATTAATAGATGCTATGTCTAAAATGTCTTTAGTCAAATATTATGATAATACGGACGTCATAGTATACTAAGACTAATACATATGAGAAAAGATAGTTGCGTCTCATAGGCTATGGATATTGTGATATCTCAATCTATACGTAGGTACATATTTGGGATATGGTACTGGACTGACCCACCATGAGAATACTACATGGGTATTATTTTAAATGTGTTAGTAGTATTCTTGTTTGACCATTGATATAATTGTCCTTAGACTTGAGGTGATTATGATCTTTAATATATTGACCTATGTGCTTTGATTCATATCTAATGCCACTTGAAATGCTGGTGGACGTGCAGTTGTGTTTTGGGTATATAGTTAAACATATGTAAAGGCAAGAATGACGTGGAAAGACTTTATCCTTTCCATTATGATGAAGTGTAATGTCTTCGGGCCCACTGACTGATATGACTTGGAAAAAGTATGACCATACCCAGATAAATTAACATATGTTATATTAATGTTATTTGAATTCCACAAGTCAATTTGAGAATTAGTAAACCAATGATTTAACTCTAACAAGGTTACACTTTGCACACCTTGTGTTAAAACTAGACATTAATGATAAAGGGAAGGGATAAGAGTTGTACAAATGAGATGTGTCGTTGGAGGTATTGTTGCAATGAACTTTATGTTTATAACATGGTTAGCGATAATGTGTTGCTAGATACCGCTTATCGTTTATAGTATTAATTGTGATTAATACTATTGTCATTGTTATGAATACCTAGATGGGTCACACACATAGAACAGTTGAACGAAGTAGAAAATTAAATGGAATGATGTGAAATGATATGGGACATGTGACGTACATATTAAATAAATATGTTGATATTTTAATTATGTGATAATTAAGTTTGTCAAATATTATGTGTGAAATAAAAAATAAAGAATTGGAAGGAGGAAGGAGTTTGTTTTGATACACAACTCTACTTCCATAAATATAGGAGATAAGTTCTCCTTTATAGATGAGGTTGACATGCCACTTTGATCCTCTCCTCCGTCCCTTGGCCGAAATTTCAAAGAAAAGGAAAAGAAAATTTTTCTTCATCACTCCAATTAAATTTCTATATTATTGTAATATTGTAGGAAGAATTTACTAGCATAAATTTTTCATAGAATAGTGTCGTTGTTCATGTGGACGCGCTAGAGGTTGGATTCTTTTGTGACTAGTTCGTTGCACTAATCCCTTCGCCTACACCGTCAGATCTGTTTTCTACGAGAAAAGGTATTTTCCTTAATAATAATTTATAATTTTCGTAAGACGATCTTGGGTGGTAACGACAATTGGATATTAAAAAATTCCACTGTGCTATCCATGCATGGTTACCCAACATCTCTCACTATCACCATAACTCTCCATCTATCTCTTATTTACCTAGAGCACAAACATACCATCATATTGGAACGTCGCCGGAAAAAAAGGAGAAGAAAGATGTCAAATTTAGGCCAAATTATGACACTGTTACATTCTCTATTTGGGCAGCGTTTCTTCATAAAAGTTGTAGCCTTGCGAGTCCTTGAACCACAACTGCAAATAGTTATATGGTGTGTAGTCCACAATCAATAATCGCCTGATGTTTGGCTAACCAATCAATACCAAGGATAACATCAAACTCCTTGTATGGTAATTTGATTAGGTTAGCAGACAACTGCTATCCCTGAGCCATCAGCAGATAGTTGCAAAACACGTGATGAAGTTGTATACTATGCCCTAAGGGGTTGGATAGTATCATAAGATACTTTAAATTGCCTGGTTTGATATCAGATTTCTCAATCATAGGAATGCAAATGTACGAAAATGTAGATCCTAGATAAACTACTCCAAGCATGTGCGTATGAAATAGCGAGAACATACCTAAGATAAAGTCACAGTTGATCTCACTTCGTCCTTTCACGGCGTAGGTGTGCGTCCTTGCTGGCAATTCTTGCCCTGGTTCTGCATCCTATGAGGGTTTGGGCCTACAGTGGGCCTCTGGCTCTGAGCAGGTTGTTGGGAAGCTGTCTGTGTCTGAACCTCAGTTGTAGGGAAGGCTAGTTCTAGATTGGTGGGAAAATCCTTACAGAAGTGTCCTTCCTTCCCACAACCTTACATAACCCTTGCATGAACTAGCATTCTCTTGGATGGTTCCTTTCACAAAGATTGCACACTGGATGCCTCGAGGGTTTGGATCTGCTGCTGGCCGCCTGAACTGAGCCGTTGCAGATCGAGTATTCATGGAGCTCTAGGTACCCTTGGTACCCCCAAATGGAATCTTACTGCTTGGTGCCACACTTGACGTGGGTTGTATACTCGGTCTACCTACCTCGGTTCTTGGACTCGCCTTGTAGTCATCAACGTCCTTCTCGGCTTTTGCCATTAGATTATAGGCCTCAGAGAAGTCAATGGTAGTCAAGGTGGACACATGTGATCGGATGTCGGGATGCAACCTTTTCCTGAACTCTTCAATGCGATATGCCGGTGTGGATACCGACATCTGTGCAAACTGGGCCAAGTGGTCGAACCTTTGGCTTAACTCGGCAAGGTCAGGTCCCTTGGTGTAGCTCTATAAATTCTATACGCTTCTCCTCACGGAAGCAGGCCGGTATGTATTCCTTATTGAAAGCGCAATCGAAGTAGGCCAGAGTCTAAGGCTTCGGCGTCTTCTTGTTGTTGTCGACGCGCTTCCACCATTCGTATGCTTTTTTCAAAAACAGTTGGGACGCGAGCTTAGGCTGCTCCATCACTAAAACATTCTGGTCTTTCAGAACCCTGGCGACCTGGTCAATCCAATCAAGTGCAACTTGGGTTTTAGTGATTCTATCCCCAAGGAACTCCTCTACTTCATTGTCCTTTAGTGTCTTGAAAGTCATTTGTCGTTGTGGTGGAGGCGGCTGAAACATTAGCGCATTCGCCATCTGCTAGAGACATTGTGTCATAAAATTAGGGATGGAGGCGTCAGGCTGATTACCGTTGTTCTGGTTACTTTCCGCGTTCAGGGGAATATTCCACTAACCAACATTTTGCTGGGGAACGAAGCTAGAAGCTTCGGAGTGGGCCTCGACGTGCTCGTCGTCGTTGTGGTGCGTCTTACCATGACCGTGAGTTAATTCCTGACTCATTCTATAAATACAAATTTCCTATTCAATTAACAACACATAACATGCAAAACTAGAAACTTGTTACCTTCCCGGGGTAGATGAGTCGTAGGAGATGTGGTGCAGCCTTTGGAAATCGTTTATTTGTGATGCAAAGATTGGTTTTCAAACCATGCGCTCCAATACCAAAATGTAACACCCCAATCCGCATAGCCCGAATACATTGGTCAGTGAATCGGGTTGCTACTAAATTGGTATCCAAACACAACTTGTAT